CCCTAAGGAGCTGTGGTGGCCTCGCGGGTCGGCTCCAGGCTGCTCACCACCAGGTCAGTGGTTTAAACCCACTAGCCACCCCAGAGCAGAAACAGATGACAGTCTCGAAAATTTTCTCATTCACCTCCTAAGTCCCACCCCCAAACTATTGACACATCTCTCTAAGAGTCCGCCCGTCACCAAACCCAGACTGTTGCAGTAACTTCGTAACTGGTGAACTCCAGTCCCTCCAACTGTAAGTTACAGTCGTAGTAACAATCACTGAAATGCACGTACTGTGCAGAGTGCCCTAAAAACACAATCTCACGTAATCCTTGGTTCTTATTCGTAGGAAAGGAAATTAAAGCTGAAACCCCAAACCAATCTCACTGCTATCAAGTCAATGCTGACTCACAACAACCTTCTGTAGGTTTCTGAGACAATTACTGTTTGCTGGAGTAGAAAGCCCAGTCTTTCTCCCACGGAGCTGCTGGTGGTTTTGAACTGCCAACCATCTGGATCACAGCCCAATGTGCACTCAATGTGCACTCACCACCAGGGCTCCTTAAAGCGGAAAAGCAAAGTTCATATTCTAAACAGATTAGCCACTTGCTAAATGCTAATCAAAACGTGCCAAATAAATTGTGCTTCATCCTATCTGTATTATTTCGGAAGGCCAAGCACATAGTGGGAATCCTTGTTAAAGCCAAGAATGACGTTAAGCCCACTCTGTGCTCAAGACAGCAATGTGGACATCCAAAGGCAGCATATGAGAGACTTGTTGGGATGGCAAGGGGTAGAATCGGGAAAGATTTCCCAGTTTGTGATGCCAGGTACAGCCACGTGGATACTGGATGGGTGGTGTCTGACAATTACCTGAAAGGCAGAGGGATTTACACACAAGGTAGCAGTCTTTCATGAGGGAGAGGGGAGCAAGGAGGGAGGGGGGAAATGGGAGGAGCTGATATCAAGGGCTCAAGTGGAAAGCAAATGTTTTGAGAATGATGATGGCAACAAATGTACAAATGTGCTTGACACAATGGAAGCATGTATGGATTGTGGTAAGTTGTACAAGGCTCCAATAAAATGATTATTAAAAAAAAAGACAGCAATCTTTTTGGCTAAGTGATTAGAATATGTGATTTCAGTTCTTTTCCCACTGCTATTTTTGTTACTTCGGTAATTAAAACATGCAAGGAGTCCTGTTTGAGACGTACTTCTTCGTTCCAAACAATACCAGCACAATCACCAGGGGAAGCTCTTGCTATTCTATGCCTTTCCAATGACTGTCCCTCATCTTTTTTCCCCCCGTAGTAAATGTAAATTCTTTTGACAATGCAGCCAATGTCTCCCCCGTGTGAGAACGAACAGCCGTGCTTGGTTTACATACGTACTTGATAATCTCCCCATACTCGTCCCATTTGATTCTTTCTTCTGGAGCAGGAAACATAGGATAGGACTTTTTCGCCTGTTTAAAGAAACTTCCTTTACGACTACCTTCGCCCTTCATCATCAGATCATGCTTAGTCTTATGAGCCGAAGGCTGATCGATATCTTCTTCAACATCACTCTCATCGCTGGAATCTATATCTGCCCTGAGAGGATTTCAAAAGAGAGATGATGGCCGTTACATCCCCAAGAGATTCTGAGCTAATAAAGTTATTTTAAATTAATAACCAATGCTATTTAATATTAATTCAGTGATAATCCTATAATGTTAAATATTGGACTGGTATTTTATAAAACATTAGTTTTCCGTGGGAGGCTCTGGGACAATGAACACCACCCACGGAGCGGAAGCTGCCATCTCTTCCTGTCTCGCTTCCCGGTTGCCACCAATGGACTGTTTGCACCATGAAAAAATAACAAAACAGAACACTCACTGCCTGCCAGTTAATAAATACATGCTCATGAAATACTCTGTATTCTACCACCATTTGACAGGTGTCTTTCATGGCAAAATACCGAAGTCAAAAGAAAAGGTTAAGTCTTTTCAATGGGTAACTTCTAAGGATTAGCAATAAAA